AAATATTTATATAATGGATCTTCAGTTTTAGTGAAGGCTTTTAATGTAAACTAAAAAATATTTTTTGAAATTTAAGTATTATTCATACTCCTATATGATAACCACTAAAGAGAAAATAAATTTACTTATGTCTGATATGATTATTATATTGTATCATTTATTTTCTTTTTAGTAGAAAAGTTAACATAGCTATATATATTATTTGAACAATAATATATATAGCTATATTACATAATTTTTTGAAATCCGCATAAATATATTTTTTATTGTTAAGTTTTGTGTGTTTAATTTCATTTAATATTTTATATACAGTCCAGTCAGTTGCAACAACAATTAAAGCAGCAGGAAACAGCCAAGTACACATGCAAGTGGTAAGTTGATTTTTTGTGACGTTTTTAATTCTTTAAAATTTAGATTTTCCTAAAATAATAATTAAGTTAATGACTATTTCTGTAAAGATCATTCTGTAAATAAAAACTGCAGTGATTTTTAAAACTAATAGTTATTCTTTTAGTAATCACAAGATAAAGTGCTAACTCTGTACTTTTAGATATGATTCTAATAGTTGAACATCTGTCAGATATTTACCTTTTAAATCATAATCTAATTGCTCAAGCTTCTGAAAAGCTATTTATAAAAATTCAATGCTTAAAAATTAATGTAAGATTAAAGGTAATTCCTGTTATATTTAAAAGGTACGTTGATGATTGGTTCGAGTCTTTAAAGTTTAAATTAGTTAAAAGAGAGTTCAAATTGTTTAGTTTTTATCTTATGCTCTATATCTAAAAGCTATTGAAATATTTATAGCATTATTTTTTTTTTTTTTATTATGTTATGAAAGACCTATCAAGCTTGAAATTTTAACGGGTTGAAATATATAGTATGTATAAGTATATCATCTCTCGGAATTAGGAAAACTAAAGTCTGCAAAAAAAGCTAAAAAACTAGACGACTAAACTTATTTAAACGCTTTTAACAAGTTTAGTTACAAGTTAATGTTATGTGTTGATGTACCTTCAACCAAATTAGTGTTAACATTTTAGCAAAATGTCATATTGCCAGCCTGTTGGAAGAACCAAAAGCTTGATATTTTATTGAATTGTTATTTTAGTTTGTGATATTATAATTTTTATTCACAAAATGTTAAATAATTTACTTTTTAAATTTATTTGTCATTGATTTGGATAAGATGTTTTGTTATTCCTTTTACAGATTGTTATGAAGGTTGCAAAACTTTTAAATATCAGAAACTGAAGAAAGTATTGATAATCAGCAGATATCAAAAAAGTGCAGAAGTACTGATTATACAACTCTTTTTAAGGTTTCATTTTAATTTGTTAATGTTTATATAGAAACTAATATAAACTGAAAATAATAACATATAATTAATCCATAATTGTGCATTATTCTAATCTAAATTTTTTTTTTCAATTTCTTCAGAGTTAATATTACTAGTTTAATGCAATTACAGTAGAAATGGTTAATTATGGAAAAAATGCACTAAAAATTGAATAAATCGCTTGTTAAAGCAAATAATATTTTATAGTATTTTTACGGTATAGTAAAATAGTTTTTATTTTTCAGTTGAGGAAGAATTTTATGTTAATGTTAATGCAAAAGGTACGAATATTGACAGGTTAGCTAATTTGATTTTACAATAAACATGAAATAAAGTTTGTGAAGACCTTAGTGCCAAAAATACTTGCATGCATTATTCATGCATGCTGTATTATAATATAGCATGCATGCATGATGCATTCAAGTATAAAAAAAAAAGTTACAAATGTTTAATTATACAAAAAGATTATGGATGTGGTACTGCAAGTATATTCAATTGATTATGCAAGTAAGTTGTCCTACTTTGCATCTTTGAAGACTAATAATAATTGTTATGAACATATCTCAGACAATATACACTCAGATTTATATTTTAGTTAAACCATCACCACTTCCACAGCCACCTTGTCTCAAGCATTAAATCGCATTCTAAGATATCTTTATTCAAATTAAGTGTGACTACTTTACCAAAAGACTCAAGAATGGACCAATCAAGTAAGATGTCTAAATCTATATCTTTTATATAGAACTCCTTTATTTTTAGATAAACCTGTTAATTTTATGACTTATGAACATATTTAGCAATGTAATCCTTTTAGGATAGACTTTTTAAAATCAATTTTACAATGTTTTAGTAAATTTTTATTTAAAATAACTTTGTATACATAATATATCTATATAGTTATTTACATAATAGCTAACCATCAGTACTTGCAAAGTCTCCTTTTCTGTAAGCCCAAAAATTGAGTTCTAAAATACCATTATCCACATAACTACTATATCAAAGTACAATCTAATGGATTGATCAAGTAATACTTAATTTTTACCTTGAATTGCGTGTTAGTACATATATATGACTTTGATATATAAATTTTAATTATTATGTTTGTTGATTAGTTTTTAAACTTTAAGAAGTGTAAGAATTACAATTTTATTTTTACATGTTTATTTATATTGTAGTGAAACTGTCGGTATCTCCACAACTTTTCAATTAAATAAAAAGTTTCAATTAAACAGGATACTAAGTGTGCCTACTGCTCCTCAAGACAATGAATAATGGGAGTTATCAAACTTATACATACATATATATATATGTTGTACAGATATTGTTATAAAGTAATAGAATACTGTATAATATTGTATTATACAGTATTCTATTACTTTATAAACTTATTTAAACGCTTTTAACAAGTTTAGTTACAAGTTAATGTTATGTGTTGATGTACCTTCAACCAAATTAGTGTTAACATTTTAGCAAAATGTCATATTGCCAGCCTGTTGGAAGAACCAAAAGCTTGATATTTTATTGAATTGTTATTTTAGTTTGTGATATTATAATTTTTATTCACAAAATGTTAAATAATTTACTTTTTAAATTTATTTGTCATTGATTTGGATAAGATGTTTTGTTATTCCTTTTACAGATTGTTATGAAGGTTGCAAAACTTTTAAATATCAGAAACTGAAGAAAGTATTGATAATCAGCAGATATCAAAAAAGTGCAGAAGTACTGATTATACAACTCTTTTTAAGGTTTCATTTTAATTTGTTAATGTTTATATAGAAACTAATATAAACTGAAAATAATAACATATAATTAATCCATAATTGTGCATTATTCTAATCTAAATTTTTTTTTTCAATTTCTTCAGAGTTAATATTACTAGTTTAATGCAATTACAGTAGAAATGGTTAATTATGGAAAAAATGCACTAAAAATTGAATAAATCGCTTGTTAAAGCAAATAATATTTTATAGTATTTTTACGGTATAGTAAAATAGTTTTTATTTTTCAGTTGAGGAAGAATTTTATGTTAATGTTAATGCAAAAGGTACGAATATTGACAGGTTAGCTAATTTGATTTTACAATAAACATGAAATAAAGTTTGTGAAGACCTTAGTGCCAAAAATACTTGCATGCATTATTCATGCATGCTGTATTATAATATAGCATGCATGCATGATGCATTCAAGTATAAAAAAAAAAGTTACAAATGTTTAATTATACAAAAAGATTATGGATGTGGTACTGCAAGTATATTCAATTGATTATGCAAGTAAGTTGTCCTACTTTGCATCTTTGAAGACTAATAATAATTGTTATGAACATATCTCAGACAATATACACTCAGATTTATATTTTAGTTAAACCATCACCACTTCCACAGCCACCTTGTCTCAAGCATTAAATCGCATTCTAAGATATCTTTATTCAAATTAAGTGTGACTACTTTACCAAAAGACTCAAGAATGGACCAATCAAGTAAGATGTCTAAATCTATATCTTTTATATAGAACTCCTTTATTTTTAGATAAACCTGTTAATTTTATGACTTATGAACATATTTAGCAATGTAATCCTTTTAGGATAGACTTTTTAAAATCAATTTTACAATGTTTTAGTAAATTTTTATTTAAAATAACTTTGTATACATAATATATCTATATAGTTATTTACATAATAGCTAACCATCAGTACTTGCAAAGTCTCCTTTTCTGTAAGCCCAAAAATTGAGTTCTAAAATACCATTATCCACATAACTACTATATCAAAGTACAATCTAATGGATTGATCAAGTAATACTTAATTTTTACCTTGAATTGCGTGTTAGTACATATATATGACTTTGATATATAAATTTTAATTATTATGTTTGTTGATTAGTTTTTAAACTTTAAGAAGTGTAAGAATTACAATTTTATTTTTACATGTTTATTTATATTGTAGTGAAACTGTCGGTATCTCCACAACTTTTCAATTAAATAAAAAGTTTCAATTAAACAGGATACTAAGTGTGCCTACTGCTCCTCAAGACAATGAATAATGGGAGTTATCAAACTTATACATACATATATATATATGTTGTACAGATATTGTTATAAAGTAATAGAATACTGTATAATATTGTATTACTATGTTTAGGAAGGGCACTGCAGTTGTCCTGCAGTTATGCAACTTATCAACCCATAACTGCGATAACTGCAAATTAATAAGGTTTTTATTATATAAATGTTATATATTTTACAGAGTTTTAAAGAAAAGTTCTCTGTCAATTGTTACCATAATTACTCAATGTACACTCTACTAATGTACAATCTTCTATAATCTATAAAACTATGGATTTATAAAGGTGTTAAATGAATGATTTATATGAATAGAATGAAGATGTTTATTGAGTTATTTTTATTATTTTTAGAAAAGAGATTGTATGACTTCGGTATCCGCAATACGGTATCGTGCATTGATTTCCATCTTAGAATGGCTCCCTTCCGTATAGGTGGAAATAGGAAAGAGCATACCTTTTTTCTAATTCTTAAGACGAAGAGGCTTAATCGGATCAAACAAAGATGACGATGATCATTATGGAGCCGATCATGATGACGAATACGATAATGCATATAATAATAAATAAAATGATTTTACTTGTATCTTAGACTTAAACAATTATTTGTTTAATGTTTGATTTGTTTATGAGTAATTAGATAATGCGATCAGCGTTTAACTTTTTTTTACGGTGCTTATTTAAAGCAGCTTAAATAAAAGAAAAGTTTGATTCGTTTATCAATATTTTGTATTTATGCTTATTTTGCAATATTTTGTTATGCTTCTTTAAATAAGCGCCGTAAAATAAAGTTTAACGTCGCGAAGTTTTAAACGAAAGATTTAGATGGAGTTTAAATAGCGTTTAAAACGAACCATTTAGATATGGTTTAAATGGAACATTCGATTGACCTACGTTCTAAATCTAAACTAAATTAAATCTAAACATTTAGAACGAACATTATCTAAACGTTGATTAAATGTTCGAATGCCCGTTGGGTATATATATATATATATATATATATATATATATATATATATATATATATATATATATATATATATATATATATATATATATATATATATATATATATATATATATATATATATATATATATATATATATATATATATTATATATATATATATATATATATATATATATATATATATATATATATATATATATATATATATATATATATATATATATATATCTGCGACGGAAACTTGTTACAAGTTTTGCCTCGTTTTCACGATGTATTATAAAAGCTTATTGGCTAATGCCACGTAGAAACGAGGTTTTGTAAAAAGTTTCCGTCGCAGATGTTTATGAAAAGTTTTATAAAATGTTAGTTCAAATCTAGAAAATCCGATTTCTAGTTTTAAACTCGATTGTTAACAACAAGGTCTTCAAAATTGTTGGTGTTTAAAATTAGCTTGGGTCAGGGTCTTTTTAGCTTATACAGGAACTTGAACGCTTTTATAGACTTTACACTGAAAGTTAAACCAAGTTTGATGCTGGAATAACGTTTTAGAATGTCTTTTCATAAAATAGTATATTGTACTCAAATTTATGTGTGCTAATCATCGAGAGTCATAGAAAAATTCATATATTATATTTATTTATTGTATTCAATATATATATTATATTTGCATTATACAAGATTGTTAAATTACTCTGACAAACGTATACAATATTCAGACTTTTTCACATTTCGCTTGTTTTCGGCTCTACTTTGGTTTTTAGCCAAAATGAAGTTATGTCTCTTCACCCGTCCATAAACCTTTTTAGAAGCTTCAGATGTAAGTTTTACAGCTCTTTCCACCGACTGAAAATTGTTTGGCAAGTCAGTTATAGAAAGTTTATTTCCGGTTCGAATAGCTTGTTTTAATTCATTTGAAGAAATAAAAATTGTAGTGGGAGGTTCAATTTGTATTGAAGAAACTTCAGTTAAGTCGGTCCAAACATCAGCATTGAAGTTCAAGGTCATAATTGTCTTAGCTTGGATTTTAGGCTTAAAGTCTGGATTAGTTTCCCTAGATAACCTAATCTCCAAGATTTTATTGAGAGCACGATCTCGTACAACTTTTTCATCGTCTAATAGCATAGCGTAAAAAAGTTTTCTTGACAGCAGCAATAGAAGTTACCCTGAAGATTTTTCAATACAATCTTTTTAATTCTGTCATCCTGTTTTTTGACTGACTGTATTGTTTTATGGAGAAGCCTTGGTGCATCTTTGTAATGCGCTGAACTTTTTACAGCAAACCACATTGGATAGTAGACTTGGACTATGTACTTTGTGATGCAGTTTAGATCATGTGTAGGTATCTTAGTTCTTGCATAAACCATCATAATTCTTAAAACAAGGGTTAGCCAGCGTGCATGACAGACAGGACCAGGTTTCTTATTAGCATGCTTCACAGAAATTGAACCTTTAGCTATTCCAATGCAATACTCATAAAGTTTACGCTGGTCTGTACTCAGATCGCAAACAATGGCGGAATTTACATAAAACTCTATCTCGGAATCTATAGGAATAAACTGAACCAAAGGTTTTTCATGCATGAATATATTAGACGCTTGTATACCAATAGGACCTTTGTATTTTTTTGGATCATTAGTTTGTCCATCTATTTCAGATATAACATGACGAAGAGGTAACTCACCCTGGTGAAGCAAACATCCAACTAAATGAATGCTACGATTCAAAAGCTTTTCTAATTTTACAACTAAACCATTATTTACGCCAGTGTTAGAGCTTGTATTGTCAAGAACAATCGCTTCTAAACTTTTAACACTGTTGTATTCAGAAAGCACATTTAATGTTGCTAGAGCCATAGTACCACCTTTACCATTTTCTATTATCACATGTGTGAGATAATTTCCAGAGAATGGATAATTTTCACAAGTAAAAGTGAGATGATGTTCATCATTGGTGGTTCGATAAAAAAAAGGGTGCTCATTGCTCTTGTATTTCATGACATGAACTAATGAATTTTTGTCTTTCTTGCTATCAACACCAATTACCTTTATTTATAAAACTTTTTGACGATGCGTAGTGTCAACTGATTTAGCCACTCGTGCTTTTTCACAAAATACCTTACATTCTGTCACTATCTGAGATTTTTTACTCTTACTTACTATTCCGTAGTCAATTAATACAGCTGTTGCTATTGCAGCTGCTGCAGCATCGCTTACTTCGTATCTTATTGCAGCTTTGGCCAAATTAGTTAATTCGGTATAATTTCTTTCACTAAGTATTTGCTCCTCAAACTCTTCACTTTCAGTTGTATCTAAACTTGAAGATTCAGCACTAAAACTACCATTTGAATCGACTTCTAATGTTTCTTGAAGATTTTTTTGTCTAATTAGCTTTTTAGTTGCCTCGTTTTCCTCTCTAATATACTTTTTGGCGTTCCTTGTTGCCTCCACATGGTCCACATTGCCTAGCTGCCAACTTCCTTTTGGTTCTATCTTGCATCTTTGGTCCTTTAAATATTCTCTTTCCAGAACAGGGACCTAAAATAAGTCAAATATTGTAAAATTGAACGTATTTAAGTTTAAAGTAAATAGAAAGAATTAACGGTCAAATGATTAGTAATCAATAATAATTTTAACATAACTTCGTAAAAGAGCAGCGATTTTTAAAATGACTTAAGACTATTTTATTTTCCCAAACCTTACATTATTATGAATTTTAATTGTAAATGCCTAATAATATCAACACAAAAATGGCTTGAATTACCTTTCTACTTTCCTCACAGATACAAACTATGTGTTTCATTGTGCAATTACTTTTCCGACATCCAATTCGTCTAAACGTATATTGTTCTACTTTAAAATCAAAACAATATAGAAACTATTTATTGGATAGGCTTACATCCGTTAGTTTACGGTTGTATGCCTTACTTTAATACCTTAGTAGAAGGCAGAGGGATGGGGTTGTAAATTTTCATTTACCTTTACAAAATCTTTTTTACTTAACATTAAAAAAAAGTTGTAATAAAAAACGTTAAAATATGTATGTTTAACTATCATGACAATCATCAATAATTGGAAGATTGCACCGGCAAGCAGACACATCAAACAATGTTTTCAGTTTCTTTTCTAGCCAGCTTATACTGGACTTATGGTTTTTAGATTGAGTTCGTTCTGCAGACAACACCTTTAGAAATGTTCTTGATATTTTATTTTTCAATGGTTTATCTTTTATCAGAGGCAGATTTGGATTAACCCTACACCAAAGCTGTTGCAAGTCACTATTGACTTTACTTACGATTGATACAGAGTCAAGTTTCTGTCCATTAAACAATTCTTTCTCAACCTTGTAACCGTATTGAATGACCTGTTTATAAATTGGTAGATCGCTTACGGGTAAATCAGAGGCTTTTCCAGCAAATCTTCCACTATTAATACGAGTTTTGTTTAAAACTTTCACAGGTCGTCCAAGTTTTTTTGAGCTCATGCTAATATGACAATATGAATTTATTATATAACTAAAAAATAAAAGAAGAAACTATTTTTTGATTTAAGTTTCTAAATGAAATATGTTTTAAACTATTTGTTAAAAAACAATTAGCTTACGTTTTAGTTTGGTAAACAGATTTTATATCGAACGCAAACGTTCGATATAAAATAGTAGTTTGCTGTATATTTTATACGTTTAAAAAAAACAACCGCATAAAAGTAGAGTTTTATTTACGGACCTTAAGTGACTTCATGTAGAATTTAAAAGTTTTTCTATTGCATTTCCCAAAAAGATTAAAAATTTTTTGACTTTTTTTTTGTGGCAAACGAATAATATATCCACAATACATAAATCTCACACTGAGCCAAGTGTTTTCATATACATGACAGTCGCTTAATATATATATATATATATATATATATATATATATATATATATATATATATATATATATATATATATATATATATATATATATATATATATATATATATATATATATATATATACATATATATATATATATATATTTATATATATATATATTATATATATATATATATATATATATATATATATATATATATATATATATATATATATATATATATATATATATATATATATATAAGGCCGGCGCGATAGGGGTGTGTGGGGGTGTGTGACACCACCCCATCAATGATTTTTAGTCGGCAAACTGGACCCTTAGTGGGCAAATTGGACCCTTAGTCGGCAAATTGGACCTAGTTAGTCGGCAAATGTGGACCCCCTTTCGATATAGGTTAGACAGTCGGCAAATGTCGTCATGACAGTCGGCAAATTTTGGAAAACGAGGACTTTTTTTTTTTTTTTTTTTAGTCGGCAAAAGTTGTAATGGCACCCCCCCCCCCCCACGTGACAAAATACTTGGCAATCCACCAAACCCTGACCACTTTTCAAAAAAGTTTATTGCCATAAATATTGATTTAGTGGCTTTCCAATTTTTTAAAAATAAAAATATAATCTAACTTTTATTAGTGCAATAAATGCAACATTTTTTCTGAGTTTAAAAATTATACTAAATTTGTATATAATTTAGGCAGAACATATTTTTTAAACTTGCGATAATAAATATGTTTTTCATTTAAATTTTAAAATATTGTCATT